GAAAACTTGTTCAGTCTGAAAGGGCATTTATTAATAATTTAAAGTTTCATTAACTTTTATTTCATGATAAGATTTTTAAAGTACAATACATTTAGCAAGATAAAAAATAACAAGGATAGCAACCAACTACAAATCACAGATGAGTGAGTAATGAAGAGTTTCTTGCAGTTTTGCTTTATTGAACCTACTTTGGGTAGTGTCACAAAAAATTTGATTTCAAGAAAGAATATCTTCAATGTCACATTTCTGATCTTTTGTTTGGAATCTTATTATGAATGATTTGCCTTGTTATTTGAGAAAATTTCAGAACAGTTATCAGATCACTTTTGCAGATGATTTACTTGCCATTGTACAGTGTAACCAAAGGTCACTCCCAAAATATGCTAAACTATATATATGAATGGTCAAAATTAAAAGCTTGAATTTAATCCTTAAAAATTGAAAATTATTATGATACATTTGAAATCAATGTCTTCTCATACTACTGATTGAACTCGCAGAAGTCAAACTATGAAGAAATGAAATGGATCAATTAATTAGGAATCACTGTGGACAATAAACTACAATGGAAACAACATATTTTTCATATACCCAGCAAAAGCAAAAAATTTCAAAGAAATAAAGAAAAAAAAAGATGAAAAAAAAATTATCCTTGAATTATTCTAATTTAATTACTAACTTACCCCTCAAATAAGTTGGAAATGAGACCAAAAAATGGGGGAATTTTGAAATGAAATACCTCAGTCAATCTTTGTCATATGGGAATCAAATGTTTAGTCTTTTATTTTTGGTAACAAATATAAAACTTTCCTAAATATACATACACGAACTGGGGGAATGAATTAAAAGTTAGATTTTGTATATTTTACAAAACTGCTTCTTAAATGACAAAGATACTGAAATATGAATATCTACAATATTTAAAACATTTGCATGATTGGAAAGATACACGCACGAACAAATAGTTGCAAAAATAAAGGCTGGGTAAGGTTTTTTGTGGACAAGGTGTGTAATGCATCAAAAAGCATCGAGAAACAAACAACTTTCAACAACTTAGAGTGATGTGATTCCAAAAATTATTTTTGGATTAGTTAGTGGAATAGAATTTTAAGAAATGTAGCAGCCAAGTATTTAAAACTGTTGCAGTTTAGAGCAGCACATTTCACTACTGTAGAAGGCATGAGCGGTAGAGGAAAAAACTACAGCTATTTTTGTACTCATCTTCAATATTTTATAAACTATGAACTGACAGAGTAAAAATTTAAATCTGAATTTTCTTCAGATCTAATTTTAAAAACTACTATATATCCATTAACAAATATAATAAATATATACACAACTATAAAACTGTAAAAATTTATTACTGCTATGCTACATTCATTTCTAGGTACACATAAATTACAAAATGGTATTTTCAATGCAGATGTCAATCTTTCTAAAAACTAATTTGCCACACAACAAACAGAATGACTAAAAAAAGGTTCTTTGAATAATTTATATTTGATCAACAGCTGATTGGCAGTTGGATCATAATGGTATGAAACAAAATCTAAATCACAGAAGCGAGACAAGTAAGTGCTGCATATTATTAAGTTGCGATAGGTAACATAGATTATAAGTGAAGATACACGGACCAGAAAATTTTTAACAATTTAATTGCATTCTTTGGGCAGTAGGGGCTTTACAAAAAGAATAATTCAATGAAATATATTAAGAGAATGTCCATATCATGACACAAACAAAATTTTAATCAAACCATTACTTCAGTAGAACTGAAAACAAATAAATGAGATAAATGATATTTTTCCATATGAGCAACAGCCAAATCCTAAGAGAAAAATATAAATACAGAGCTATTTATCACAATGGCATAGATATCATTAGCAGACATAACAACGGCATGATAGTGCTTACTGATAAACTACTAAGGAAGAACTTGTTCAGTCTGAAAGGGCATTTATTAATAATCTAAAGTTTCATTAACTTTTATTTCATGATAAGATTTTTAAAGTACAATACATTTAGCAAGATAAAAAATAACAAGGATAGCAACCAACTACAAATCACAGATAGTAACTAACAAAAAAAGACAGCAATTTAAGCTTTGCCCTGACAATTGCTACTCCTCAGGGATTTTATTTTATAATTGGTAATTGCAACAAGTTTAAAAGGTTGGTTTTTCAATGTACTTTTTCATTTAGATATTTTTTCAAATTTCATCACTATTTTGTAGAAGACAGCAACTCAGTTGAGAACTATTTGCCCATGATATTTCAAATAGGTTGCCCAAGATGTTTCATTCAACATGAACAGACATAGATGGAAAGAAATATTTTCATAACTTGAAAACTAGTGCAGTGAAACTGATTTGTTGTGACTTATCTCATTTGTCTGACAGCAACATCAGAACAAGTCCACAAAATTCGTCATGGCAAGGGGTGCAAGACCGCGCCTGTTGTTGGCAACAGCCTTGAGCACCGTACAAGTGACAGTATGACTTTGCACAGCTCCGCCCTCCATTTCGATAGACAGCAAGCCTGGGCGATGGTTCCATGGATCTCCCACCCCTCTTCGCTTACCACCAACCTTTCGAGAGAACTTTCGGCTCGCCGCATATTTAGAATGTCCCCCACACAGACACTATACATTTACAAACGTTCATGCCTTCTCTGGGATTCAGAACTGGGCCCTTTGGTACGACAGTCAGAATTACTAACCACTATCCTGGTTGGGTGGCAAAGCTGATTTCAGAAGCAAAATGCAAATTTAAAAAAGTCTTCTCATGGTGAAAACATGACAGGCATGCAAAAAAAAAAACAACAACTGGGAATAAAATCGCAACCACATGAAGTGAAGGACTAGGTTGTAATTTGTTAAGAGCTACATTAATCTATCTCAAGAATTCCGCAATTGAGTTAAAGAATTTAAATTCAGTATTTCTGGTTGTGATAGAAAGTAGATGTGTGGTAGAGGTTCAATGCTGAGTCTGAACTGATAAATCTTACTCCCACAGTAAAATGTGGTAATTCTACAAGTACCCATCACATAAATCGACTAATTGAAAATAATAACAGTTAAACAATTAGATTATTTGAATATGGTAAGGCATATGAGGCCTATCTGCCTAAGGGGAAGAAACTGTTAGAGAAACTGGCTGGTATTCATGTTACATGGAAAAAAAAAAGCATCCTGTTTGCTAGCGTTGAAACTTGGGTCAATTATTCAATTGTTTTAACACCAGTTTGCCACATGAAGACTGCATCAGGATAACGTACTGAAGAACAATAACCATAATTATAAGCCTATGGAGTGCATACCATTATCTAGAAATCATCAGAACTCCTGCATAAAGTCCACATTTTAATCCTATGAAGAATATAAGATACATCTGCAAAATTCATACAAGCAACTAAAAGTCCCAGTAAACATATAAGAGCAAAATTCATCCTCAAATGCTCAAAAATAGAATAAATGTTCTGTGAAAAAGCATTAAAATCGAAACTGAAGAGATAGTAAAGTCTTCAAAGGTAAACCAACTATAAGTATTGTGGTTAAATTTAATTTTTTTTAAACAACTTATTTATATCCTAAAACTTTTTTGGCTCTACTCTTTTTGAGTAGAAGACATGGAATAGTTCATGATCTTAAAACAAACTGTGTTATTTTTTAGCTTTGTATGTTTTGCTCAGCCTCAAGATAATTTTATATTATTTTCTCTTCAAAAGTTGCTTATAAAATTATCTACTTTCGAATAAATGGCTCAGAGTTTGGATATCAATTTTCTTTAATTAGTCATATTACACTTCTCAGATATTATACTGAAAGCTGCAACAGATAAAACCCTTTATCTTCTTTTTGTCATGCATTTATAATAATTACATGATTCTTCATATTGCTGGTAATAATTTTTAAGTTCCAGTTTTTTGTTACTTATGAGTTCTCTTTAAAAAAAAATCTTTTTACCATTCACTAAACATCCAATTAATATATGATGCTCACCCAAACAGAATTACTCGATGCAAAGATTGAATGGCTTATAATTTTTACATGGCAAAATGAAAAAGTACACATGTGGATTGATTTATAATAAGTTCCAAATTACTCCTACTATTGTTATTAAACTATAAATTATAACCGACTTTACCATGGCTAATACAGCGTATGAAAATTCAATTTTATCTAGAACTGAATCGGGATATTACTTATTACACAAGAATTCTGGAAAAAGTATCCAACTTTTAGAAAATGTCAAAAACCTTAACATATTTAAAAAATTTTGAATTTTAAAATTATTAAATTTTGTGACCTTCAACAATACATAATTTTTCAGTTTGAAAGCATATTTTTGGATATAATTTGTTTCAATAACTATGGATTAAATTAATTTTAAGATATCTGGAATACATTAATTTGACATCAAATGTAACTCACATTAATTATATATATATTGAATTTAGCAGCACTATTTCAAAATTAGCACAAATATTTTATGTTGAATGCTGGATTTGAAATAAGAACAATTATTTCCAGTTCTCATTAAAAAATACATCTAATTATTTTCCTTAATTAAAAAACCTGAACTAAATCCAGCAGTGGAAATGCCCTAAAGTGATACTATAAACAACTTGCAACAATACTGATAATGAGGAAGGCAATTGGAAGAAATCTGCCAGTTTGGATAGACATGGTGAGAATATGAAATTAGAGAAAATAATGTGTTAATTTAGATATTTCTTTCAAATAAGGAGAATTTTCAGAATATCACAAGAGCAAAGGAATAATATCACAATGGAACAGAACTAATCCTAATCACCATTAAGCATTAATTTTCAGTACTTTAATTCTGAAATTCTTTAATAATTTACATTTGTACTCAAACTTTCATGGGAAAGGAAAAAGAAATAACTTTTAACATGTTTCTACCTTACTTCAAACACTAAAATGAGCTGAAAGTTGATCAGAAATTAAAAATGAATCACACAAAGTAGAAAAGTACTTACTTGCAGAGATGTCGAATAAGCAACTCGAGCATTTGAAAATTAGGCTTAGGTAATGAATGGACTAAGGAATGAATGTTATTTACACGTAGAGTTTTGTTCTCTTGCTCTATTAAAAAGGAAAAAATAATTACTGAAAGTAATGTTATTAAAAATAAAATAATTCCAGTGCTATGTTATTCAAATAAAGCGTACTTCTAATAAGAAATAATTTTATAACTTGCAATATATATATATATATATATTCGGTTCTCTCTCTCTGTATATAAATACCACACAGATATAAATATGTATAAAAACACTGAAAAGACATTCCGTCTGGATACATACACAGAGAAAAATTATTATGCATGCTTATGCAGCTATGTAAATGAGCATAATGAGAACCAAAGACCTGCAAGCTGCTGGGTTTCAGTTTTACAAGAGCATAACTATCAGAATTCCGATAGGCATGAAAGGCATTTTTATCGTGGGTAAAGGTTAGTGAGTTTGGTCGTGAACAAACTGTAAGCGCCTCAGCATCAGCAATCACTGAACTGCTGGGCATGTGATGCAGTACTGTGGCACTGGTACTCAATACTTCATGAATAAGAAAACTGGTGTGAATCATCAAAATGTGGCTATAAATCAGCAACTCATGTGTGAGGTGTTTGGAGACTCAGTCATATTGCACTGTTGGCAAGAAGTGCAATATTACGTCAGATCATGGCAGGTTTTAAAGCAGGCATTTCATTCAGTGCCAGTACAAGTACAGTTCACTTGCAATTCCTGCAACTGGGTTATAACAGTTGATGACCATCTTGGGTTCTACTGCTAATGGCAAGCCATGTACTGCTGTCATGTAACGTGGTTCAATGAATCAAGATCCTGGCTTCTACAACAGCTATGTGCGGTGAGAACTGCATGAAGCAATGCATCCATAGTATCACGATCAGTGTTGTAACCATTTGGGCCATCTTTATGTGGTCCTCATTGGGTTTCTTATCACAATGGTTGGAACTCTGTGAGCTTGGGCTAGAATGAACTGCTGGCTGATCAGCATTATCCCTTCATACACTTGTTCCCATTAGAATGATACATTCTTTCAAGTATACAATGTGCCATCCAAGTTGCACAAGAGTGGCCCAATGAGCATGGCAGTGACACTGGTATATTTACCTGGCCTCCAAGGACCCTGGACGTCTTGAGTACCTGTGGAACAAGATGCAACAGCTTTTCTCTGGACTCACTACCATGCTCCATGATGGATTTATGGCATAAACTACCAGATTGTTGGGCAACAATACCACTATCTCACTTTTAACATCTCACTTAATCCTTCTCAAGTATATTACTGCTATTATCCATACACAAGGTGATGTACAGAATTGAAGAGTGTGTACAAAAATTTGTCCAAGTCACATGCCCAAACTCACAAATGACAAGAAAATCCAAAACCTTTTCAAAAACAGGATTTTTAATTCATAAATAATTCCTAAATATTTTAAGCACTACGTTTCGTGTTGTACTTAAAAAATTCATGAAAATAACACACTCAATTCTTTAACACTTTTTGTAACAAAAGTACTAAGAATTCATTTCCATTATAAAAATAATGGAGAAAAAATGTAAATTCAGCAGCTAGGAATTCTTATGAATTATTAGTTATAATAGATGTTAAAGCAGTTTGTACTGCTCATGAAAATTTCTTTGTTAATTATTACCTTTCCTTTAACAGTGATACACTGCAGTCATTCTAAATGATGAACTTTAATATTTATAAACAGCTGTTGATTTTTGTGCCGCAAAACCGAAACAAGTCATCACGTACATATCAAGAATTAAAATTATTACCCATTCAGCCGAACAGTCTTTTAAAAGGGATAATATGATATATATATGAACAAAATATTTAAAGTTCAGTATGATTTACTTTTTGTTAAAATGATGTTTAATTACATGAAATGAAAGGGAAAAAAAAGGTTTTTAAACACATCACGTTAAGTTATTTGAATATGGCAAAGCACACGAGAGCTAGCTACCTGAACATACGTGTGGATTTATTATCATACATACATATACAAAAATAAAACACAGACATATGAAAAAGAAGCATACACTTTACAGACAAAACTCAGCCTAAACTGAAATTTGCTTTCAAGAGAAGCTCTATATATTTCAAGGGAATCCGACAAAAAGCAAAAATACTTTGCTGTGACGTAGACAGTACTTGCTTAACCCAGATTAGCAAGACCACCAATATTCGGTCATGCGATTTTTTTTGTCATTTGGTATATATTACAATATAATCCAAAATAATTTAAAAAAAAATTTTCTTAAATAATGAAAATTGCTCTGTTAAAAATAATAAATGGAAGTTTATAAAAACGGACTAAAACAAGCAATTATAAAAATTTAGCTAATAGAAGCTGTTTAAATACAGGTTTTCATGAGCAGATCCAAAAAGCTGTGTTACTCAGAGGGTTAAAATAACAGCAATCAATATAGTTCAGCATGGTTTATTTTATAACGACAAAGCACTTGAGGGCTATTTGCCAAAGGGATGGGATGCCTTCGTGGAGAACTTTCAATGGGAAACTGGCTCGTAAACATTATGCATGGGGAAAACCACAAGAGAAGCCATGCAGCCATCCCATTCTGCAGGATTCAAACCCAGGTCTAAACTACCAAGGTTCAGTGATGTTACCACTTGGCCGATGGTAACCACAATCAACACATAATAAAGATTTTAAAAGTACTTTTACAGCCATAACTTAGGAAGAAAATATACCTAACATATTCTATGAAACTGTCAAACACATATTATGATACAGTTAGCAAATACAGATGGTGTAAAGTTTATTAGCTTTGATTTTTCCCTCCTCTTGTACCTGCACTATACATTTGATCTATTATCAATATATGACTATCAGATGCAAATGTTTATTGTTTGTATTGCATAACTACGAATGTAATATAATGCATCTTTTTACAAAATGGTAGTTCCTAAATAACTTTGAATTTTTCCCCCATTTTCCTGCAACTGAATCATTTTAACGCATTATATACTGTGAATAACACCGTGCATCATTTTAGATGAACTTCTGTAAAAGAGTGAGCAAACAGTAACTGAAAAAAAGTATAGCAAAAAAGACTAATCTAGCAAATAAAGGGACTACTGTGAATTTTCATATTCATTTCTATATGCTTGTAATTTAGGCTTTTAAATGTTTTTGTAGTGTTACGTATTTTTCTTATTTATTTAGCACACGTTACGAAATCATTTTACTATACATTTTTTGTTTAACTGAATTTGTGGCCTTTTTGTGTTTGTCAGTGATTAAATTTTGGGTACTTTGCTGTAAATCCTTTACTTTTGTATTGACACACATTTAAACTGTAAAGATAGTTCAATTAGAACCAGAAATAGGGTAATAAACCCTCTTATCAAGGATTCGTGACAATTTTGAAATTTGCTAAATATGTATTTTTAAAAGCTTTAAGAGTTACTTTTTTTCAAAGCTTCCAGAACTGCTTGGGCAACCTTATAAGTATCATCTGCAGTGAAACACAGATTACTCAGTTCGGTTATTCAAATCTGAGTCATGTGACTAGGATTACTGCTTAATTTTGCCCTATGAATGATTTTGGTGATCAGTAATATTGCTTGTATGTTAAGGAAGCCTTATCTGTTTTTTTTAGCTACTTATGTTTGTAATTTGCTGTAAGAACTGTTATTTACTTCAACAAATTCTTTTTGTTCATCCAGCACAATTATTAAGAAAACAAGCAGGACACTGCACAAACATCCAAATTAAGATTTCACATGTATCCACACATTTATTATTTTATATTTTGATCACAGGAATTGAAATTTGGGGCCCATGAGGTAGGACTTTGCTATTTTCAGAAGTTGTAAAATACTGCAGCATTGTTAAGCATCATTACTTAAAGAAATTTAATGGTGCATTTATAGCGTTTCAGCAGATAATATTTTATCATTAGTGTTTCAAAGTGCATAAGCTTATATGCATTTCCCCTTCCACAGAAAGACTGAACAATCAAAGACCCTCCAAGTTCATTTAATTGTAAAGAAAAATTGTAACTTACTAGCAGCTGCAATAAATGCACCATGCAGACGAAATGTTAACAATGGTTCAGGTAGATTCCTATGAAAGAGAAAAATTTAATGAATTTATGAAATTTATTCATTTTAATGAATTTAAAAATTCAGCATTCAATTCACACATACAAACAAAATTATATAAGATTTTAAGTACACAGCCTGTAAAAAATACAATCATTCATACTCATCACTTCTTAAGAATATCACTGCAGGGAAATAATAATAAATGAGACAGCTCTGTAGGATACCTAAACTCAGAATTGAGACTAATTTTAACCATTAGAATTTAATTAATAATTTTGTTTACAGAACAAAAATATAACAATGATGACAGATTTAAACGTCTAAGGTATATTTCAAAATTGCATCCCCTTAATAATTGTCATCACTGCATTTCATATTTAACCCTCCAAGTGTTACAGGTTTAGCCCTAAAATTTTAAAGTTCCTCAAAATGTCACGAATAAGTGATATTTTTAAAATTTTAATTAAAGGACTACTCTCTCACTTTGTACCTTAATTCCTTTTCTTTCAATATACATAAAAACCGAAATTGGATACATTAAAAGCTAGTAGAAATTTTCATGTGTAATGAATAAAGAAGCCAGCCTTCAATACAGAATTTTCTGGCCGTAATGCTGAGTGGTTTAATAAATTTTTATTTAGTGAATCCTTTCTGTTTTACTGACTTGGATCGTGATATTACTGATAATAGCTTTACAATTTTCAGTGATTTATTTTAATATCATACTTAAATTCTTTTAACAAACAGTTGAGTGAATCACATTACTTTTATATTCAATTCATGAGGTGGGATGTGTATCCACATTCTAGCGGTACCTAGAAATAAAGCTAAGTGATCTACAAACTCGGCATGTGTCGCCTGCAGAGTTCTTCTCTATGAATTATCTAGTGGAATGCATGTTGTTTTTGTTTCTCTCAGGCTTAGAGGACTGAGCTTATGCAAAATTTAAATTGTTATAATACTGATGTTTTTGCAGTTATGGACACAAATTTAACTCCTGAGAAATTGAAATTTTTTTTCCTTGAAAGGTTTTTCTTCATACATTTTACCAAAAATCTAGGCAAGTTACGAGTGGAATTCTTACGGCAATCAAAGATAACGTAATTTTTGACTTCAGAGTCATAAAGGTCATGAACAATACAAGAGAGAAAAGAAAAATTGTGAATTTTGATATAAGGAACATAGCATCCAGTTTAAAATTATTGCTATATACAATCTTCCTAATCACAAATCCGATTTCACCTTGCTCAGTATTTCAACAAAAACTATTTAACTTAAAATGATGAAAGATAAATAATATAAGCTAAAAAGAAAAGAAGAATTAATGTGATGCTCAAACTTGACGTAAACAAGTTGCTTTGTTTAAGACTGTTCTCTCAGAGAAAAGAACATAATTTGATAACTATATATCTAAGATAAGCTTTCAAAAGGATTGGGAAAAGAACATCTAAATTTCTTGCAAAAATTAAAAAGGAAAATTCTAAACCATTTAAAAAATCCTTCTTAGTAAATGGAATGTTTGTTACTTCAACTAAAATAATAGCAGATGCATTTGTGAAACATTTCTCTAACAGACAACACAAATCTGATTACTGTAAAAAGCAAACACAATTAGTTAAGCAAGTACTACATCCATTCAAAATATTCTTCACAAGAGCAAAATTCCCTTTCCTTTCTTAGTACATCAGTTATCATGGATGCACTCTCTATAGCATTATGCCATTTAAGTCTAATAAATCTCCAGGTAAAGATGCAGTTCAGACTGAATTTCTTACGAATTTAAGTACAAATGCTACTCATACCATTCTGAGGTTTTTCAATAGTGTGTGGGATACTGCCTGTATCCCCTCAACATGGTGTAAATTCATAATAATCCTGATCCCCCAGAAGGGAAAGGAGCATGACATAAAATGATACAGATTGATCTCATTCATGAGCATTTTAATGTAAAACTATGGAGAAGATAATTCAAAAAAGGCTAAATTGTTAGGTAGAGAATTTTCAATTTCTAGTTAATGAACAGATTGGTTTCAGACTATACAGGTCAATTACTGAGCACGTTACATTATTTAGCCAATCAGGAGAGGATGCACTAGAGGGGAAAAACTATTCTTTCTGCAGTTTTCGTTGACCTCAGATCTGCTCATGACTTAATTTGTAGGGAAATGCACTGCTGAAGCTTTCCAATATTGGAGTTCAGTCAGACATTACGTTGGGTTCAAGAGTTTTCATAGCCAGCGAATTTATAGAGTCTCTTATGAACATGGTTTTTCATTATATAAAGTTTTCAGGACTGCCTCCCACAGGAATTTGTTACTAGTTATCTTCTGTTTAAAACATACATGAAGAATCTCATAACTGAAACTGAAAAATACAGTGTTACATGTTTACTGTAGGCTGTTGATTTGGTCTTCTGGATTGAGACTCCCAAATGTTATGCAAATGAACAATTACAGTTAATTCTAAATCAGGCCCTAGAGATTTTAGAAGACTGGTGCTATACTCATAATATGGAAGTTTATTTAAAGAAGACAGTGTATCAAACTTTTTCAATTAGTCCTTTAATACCAGAGTTCACTGCTACAGATAACCAAGAGCTTTTGATCCTTGGATGTTGTTTGACAAAAAATGGACTTGGATGATTTTAGAACCAGCTACTGAGTCTAAATTTAATGAAGAGAATTGCTGGATCTACATGAGGATGTTCTAGAACCACTTTTGATTTGACATACAGCTTCCATATTCCACCTCCTACCATTTACTATTGCGAGCCCTGTCATGGCAGCATCTAACCACGTGATCGATACATTGAAAAGTTTCACAACTAAGCTGACTTATCACTAGTGCAATTAAAACTATCAAAGTTGAAGAACTTTTACTAACTACACACAATATATGCATTAAATCAATTGAGGAAGAGAGAGCAGTAATCCTAGGGGAAAAAATTTTAAGGGAACCAGACTGCTTTTCCCTACAGAATTATTACCTTCTAATGATGGAAAGAAATCTTAAAACTCGGAATGGTTTTCTTCAGGCAGCATTTTCTGTCAGAGATCAATTAAGCCTTAAATGGGTAGCTGAAAATTTAGTGAAACTACAATGTCCAACTAATAAAAGAAAATATGTAGTCAGAATTAATCTGCTATACAAAATCCTTAAAAATGAAACCAATGACGAAATTTTAAAATCTATGTCTTTGAAGACCATTAATGCTTTATAGTCTGAGAGCAAACATCTACATGTGTTTACAGATGGCCCTCTGTTGGCTGACAGTATTAATGCAGGCGCTGGCATCTTTAGCAAGCTTTTCTCATTTTACAATCCTGTTGAAAGGAATAGGACTGCTTTTGATGCTGAGAATACGCCCATATGCATAGCCTTATCCCAACTCCAATGTCACCTTGAACATTTATCAAAGGTTGTCACAAACTCTGATTATAAAGCTGCTCTTCTAGTCATTTATCTTTTGAATCACCAATGCCTGTTGATGTTTTAAAATGTCAGCAGTTACTAAACAACTTAGATGAGGATGGCAAACAAGTTGGCATGCAATGGATACCGTCACATTGGCATCAGGCACTGGCATCTTTAGCAAACTTTTCTCATTTTACAATCTTGTTGAAAGGAATAGGACTGCTTTTGATGCTGAGAATATGCCCATATGCATAGCCTTATCCCTACTACAATGTCACCTTGAACATTTATCAAAGGTTGTCACAAACTCTGATTATAAAGCTGCTCTTCTAGTCATTTTTCTTTTGAATCACCAATGCCTGTTGATGTTTTAAAATGTCAGCAGTTATTAAACAACTTATATGAGGATGGCAAAAAAGTTGCCATGCAATGGATACCGTCACATTGTGGACTTCATGGAAATTATAAGGCAGATTTGTTAGCAAAGAAAAGGGCCAATATTCTCCAAATAACTGATAACCATATCCTTTCTTACACTGGGAAAAGAGTAATGAAAAATTACAACAAAGAAGCTCTTTAGAAAGACATTACTGAAAGGAATAGTCATAAAGTACATATTAATGGAATTTTTGACATTCCTTTATGGTCCAGGGAAAAAAAATCTGTTGCTATCTTTTGTTTCGTTACTTCTCATGATTGAGTTTTGAAACACCTGCATCACATGAACATTATTCACATTGTAGCGATCTCGAGAACAACTCAACGTTCACAAATTTGAAAAGAGTTGAAATTCTTGAACCTAGCACAATCTAGCTCTTTTGGGCTAGCGGTAAATAATTTAACTCGTAATAAACCGACACAGGTTCGGCTCCTGCTCATCAGATGGTGGTTGGTTCTCAATGGTGTTAACAGATGGTAACATGAGCAAGCAACTACCGAGGCTTCATGAATCACATGATCGCTCCATTGGTGACCCAGTGAACCACAGACTCCTCCCTCCGCTGAGGACAAATGATGAACTACATCACATGATCCATCCCAGAACCTAACAGCGACACACATGCCAACAAAACGGAGTCTCCTCGTATCGCATCATAGATGCTTGGGCAGGGAGTGTGTAGAGATCTTGAGAACAACTCAACGCTCGCAAATTTGAAAAGAGTTGAAATTTATAAACCTAGTACAACGTTGCTCTTATTGGCTAGCAGTAAAGAATTTAACTTGTAATAAACCGATCCAGGTTTGGGTCTTGCTCATGCAATGTAGCACTTCTCACTGGTGTTAATAGATGGTGACACGAGCAAGCAACTACCAAGGCTTTACAAACCATGTGATTGCTACACCATTATTATTTGTAAAATGTGCAACTTCCATGAGGCAATGGATGCCTCAGATCTGAGTTGTTGCTCTGCACTTAATGCTGGATCAGTCTGGGAGAGATATTGGGAGACGAGACACAAAATAGATTTATAGATTATATTGTGGACACTTTTAGTTTTGTTGTTCTCTTTCATCTTTGCTTGTTCACTCTACAGCTTTCTTTGTGATCTGTCATTACAAATTAAAAAAAAAAAAAAAAAATTCAATTCGCACAGTATTTTACAGAGATTAACGGTATTAAACAATGGATTTTAGAAGAATGGTTATAGAAGCAACAGAGGAGAAAAAGTACTGTAAAATTTAATTATAAGGCCGAATCATATTCAGTGTCTACAGTAGCAAGAAAACATACCCTGTTCCTCTAGCTTTGACTATGCTAAATTTGATACTGTGTTTTTAAAAACAAAGCTCTGTTTTAATCGTACATTTCTATATTTCATTTCTGTATGATGACTATAAGACAATTTCAGCATTTATCAAATATTCTTATATTCAGACAGACTCTTTCAGCAAAAACTGTAGAACTAAGAATATGCTCATTTTGGAACATATCAATTTCAAAATGAGAACTTTGACAGAACCTTCTGCTTTTAAATTTGCCATTTTATAGAGAGCTATTTATCACAAAAATGCATCTGCTCTATTTTAGAGTAAATGTAAAGATGCAGATTAATTACAGAAAAACGCCAAACAATTCAAATTATGAATTGTGAGACTTTGTGACAGCGATACTTACTTAGGCCAGATGCAAATAAATATAGCTAGTCAAGAGGTTTTAAAGACCACGAGATATAAAAACAAACAAACAAAATTTCTGCCTCTGCCCCCTCCCAAAACCTAATAAGTGGAACATTTTTTGAAACTATTCTTTGGAAACCCAAGCTGGCATAAAATAGCACACATACCTGAAAAAATTCTTTAATGCACTTGTGACAGTTTTTAATTCACACTCTTCTTCATCTAGTGATAAGAGAGAACCTTTATTTTCTGAAATAAAGGAAAGCCAAGTTTAAAGGAAAGTTAAGTTTAATTCCAGGTAAAATATACATATATAATTAAAATAATCAAACATATTTTACCTAATGCAAGCTGTGTTAACTTTGCCACTTTAGAATTTACACCAACAAGTCTATAAAGACCTTGATCGACAAGCCCTTTTGATTCAATATAATTTATGCACCACTGAACAAATGCAAAGCCAGCATCATCAAGAGAAACTAAAAAACAAATTCTGATATGTTATTTATGAAAGATAACTGAATAGCTTAACATAAAGAAAGATCGAAGTATAGAGTAAAATATGATTCTGTCACATGATCACACTTAAACGTTTACAACAGGAAAATGATTTACCATGATAGAGACAACACATGCTTGACAATATATATATATATATATATATATATATACATGGGAGAGATATAAAATATGAAAGAAAACTACTAGATTTACTCCTTCCAATTCCTCATTTTAATTTGGCTACATTCCCTTGCTGTCTTAAAACTACTAATACATGAATTGAAGGTGCATCGCCTGAGAATTAATCTATATTATGACACTACGTAAGAGAAACATTGTGGATACTTTTTATCCAATTACAGTTTAAAATTTAAACAAAGAAATTGACTCAAAAAATGCAACTTAGCTTATATGAGTTCACATTCCTGCCTTCTCCTCTCTCTGCTTGCATGTGTCACACTGCTGTCTACATGTCCATTGTCTTGAGACGCGATCAGTTAAAAAAAATTTTGGGGTGCTTATAACATCCATAATGATGATGCATAAAGAAGAATGTGTTCAAAAGAATTAGTTCCAAGAAATAAAACTATGTGTTGGAAGTATGCCACATCTGCAAGTTTTTCACCTTTGGAGTGTCATCTTGTGTGTCTGCATAGTTGTTTTCTAATCTCAAGATATTTATAGAATTTATATTAGAGTAAAAGTAGTCAGACCGGATTTTTAACCTGTCTTGAATACAACGGAAATGCATTTGCAAGTTCAAAAGTCTAATTAGGAGAATAAAATGTTGCATTACTATTGAAAGTCAATACTTCAGAACTCACAACTTTGATTAGGAAAAAATACAGGTCAAGGTCAAATAATGAAGTATGCTGCAAAATTATTTGCTTTGAATTTTAAACATCATCATTGTGTTCATCAATCAAATATGATGAAGAAGATCATCAAATTTGTTTCTGTCATCAAAAATGAAAATTATAGTATGAATTCCTTACATCTGACTTCTAAAATGAGTTGTTTAAAGGAGTGAAAAGCATTATTATTACAATTTGAAGGTGTAGCAATGTAGCATTTTTGTAATAATTCTGGTAGACATGGCATAGATTCAATACTTTTATTTCCTGATAACTAATTCTTTAGGACAGATATTCTACTTTACACATCGTTATTATGGATGCAAAAAACACCACAATTTTATATAACTGATCACAACTTGATATAATGGATGACATAGATAGCAGAATGACAAGTGTAAACAGAGGAAGAAAAGGGTAGGAAAGTGGGTGCATATTTCGGCAAAGGGGTATTTATAGATTCGGTTTCTTTAAATTTTAAACTGTGATTGGATAAAAAGTATCTGCATTGCTACTCTTATGTAATGGCATATTGGGACTTATGTAATTGGGAATGATTTTCAGATGTAGCACTTTAGATTCATATATTTGTAGCATAAGTACTACTTGTTTAGTTATTTGGTATATTTTTTTAGGTAATTTTGTATGATCTTTAATTTGGGACACTAACGGTACCCGTATGTGGATAGTTTATTTATAGTCAGTAGTATGTATAATTGTCAATAAAACAACCCTGGAATAGTAACAGTAGCTTAAAGGCAACTATGAAGACAAAAATGCTCATAGTGCATTAATGACATTTGGTGATTTCTCATGATTTTGGCAACATTCTGAATACTTTCTGAAAACAGTTTTTGAGAGCCTAGGGGTGATTCTTTTAAAGAAGTTTTGATATGCTCCCCTTGGGATTTGATTAAATAAGAGGACTGAAAAGCTATTAGTTCAATGGAGTGTTGGAACTAAATTTGTAGCAGAATGATCTGTTTTAAATTTTCTCGCTCACAGACTTTGGTATCTGTTTTGTGAGTGATTTCTTGAGTTGTTGAAATTTGAATTAAGAAGAATTTTAACTTACTTCTCTGCTTTCTTGAAAATATTATTAGTTACTTATATTTTCTGTGAAAGCTGTTGGCACTTCAAGCCAAAATGAAGTTAGAAATTCTCTTCATCATGCCTAGTTAATTAAGATTTTGACAATCCCACAATTTGAAATTACAAATCGGATTACAGTATAGGAATTACAAAACAGGTTTTTTTTAAAAGGTACACCATGCTTGCACTGGATGTAATGTATTTGTTAGTATAAAAGTAATTTTTCTTATATTTATGAGATACTGACTGTAATAGTGATTCTAAATATTATATTGTATGAATATGGGAACCAAACTACTGCAAAAAAATATCTATGGCTGTGATGTAGGCCGATTTATGGGAGGTGTACATACTAAATGCTTGATTTAGCAAACTTTTTATCTTTATCCTGAGTTTATTTTGCATACTTAGCTATAAAAACCTCTGCTAGCAGGCAACTGTTAATATTTTTACAATGCTCTGTTTATTAACATAGCATTAGCAAATGCATTAACCTATTTTGCATATAGACCAGTAATTGATCAGCTAAAATACCATGACCACCTGCACATTATAACAGTGTATTTGTCAGAATGACAGACAATATCAGACAAGGTGGTAATATTACTTATCGGCTGGTAGAGATACTAAGGCATGAATCTGTCAACTATGTGTGAATGTAATAGGAAAGACTGCTGATTTAAGTAACTTTGATTAAGGCTAGATTGCAATATTCCAGAGGCTGGGGACTAATATTTCTGAAGCAACACCCCTCGTTGAGTATTCATGAACTATCATTGTTAGTATCTATGAAAAATGGAAGAAAGTAAAATTGGTAACAGATGCTGAGACAGTCCATGCCTGACCAATTAATGCAGGAAAGCGAACTATCCCAATTGGCATGGCAAGCCGTCAGCAGTGCACAGTTCACTGGACTCATCTGGTTGGGGGACTGAAGCAGATGCTTGTTTCATGTTTCTGTTAACTCAGCATCATCCACGTTTAAGGCCACATGGCATCAACATCATGACTGGTCTGGCACTAATGGAAAAAAAATATGGTCAGATAAATAATTTATTTTGTAACAAGCTAATGGCAATACGATACTCATGGTATATTATCTTCCCGGCAAGCAGACATCCTTTGACACATAATGCCAAGGATAAAGACTAATGGAAGTACTAAGCTTTGGAAGACTTTCTCAGGGGGATGGTCCCTGGGTCAGGTGGTAGAACACACAGATGCAGACTGTGTGAGCATTAATGTTGACCAGTTACAGTCATCCATGATTTCTTTTCTCCACCAGGAATAGACTTCAAGATTCTTAGGAAAAGACTACTCCATCATTCTTAGGAAGGATTATGACGAAGCATATGAAGACAGTTTCACTCATTAACTCTCTATGTACGGATAATTTTTCATACTTTCTGCCTCTGAAATACAGGATAATTTTTTTTCTATGTCTATATTTATTACTATTCACATCTTTAACAGTTTTTAAATCATATAAGAATTTTAATTCCTTTTTGTAATTTTAAATTGTAAATAATACGGTGCATGCGATTTCAGTGAGTAGGTATAATTTGCAAGTTAAAAAATGCATATAAATTTTTTAGTTTTAGATGAATTCAATTATTAACCAATTTCTTGCAACACATTTTACAAAAATTTTGCAATAAAACAGAAAATATAAAAATTGTAAAAAAAAAAAAAGTCTTTTTTTTATATTACATACATAGAAAAAAAAAGAAATATTTAAAATGACAAAAAGTTTTAGCTTATAAATATTAAAATTGTTTATACTGACCTTAGAAATAAAGTTAGCATTATTATTTTTACTCATTATTATTATGCAAAGTTTCCCCACTTATGACAAACTTTGGAGCATGGCCCCCAAAATCTAATCTAATTTGACACTTTTCAAATCAAATGCATGTCTCTTTACAGGTTTTCTTTCTTGGAACAACACACAACACTGCCTTCTACATTCCCTTTTTATAGAATTTGGTCGTATATACCTGGCAAAATGTCTTTCTACAAGGTGAGTACTGGCAAGCTGGCATCATTGGGACATTCTGATAAATTTACAGCTTTTATGCTCTGCAGGGTCCGTTTCGTTGCACAGACAGTGAAATGGACCCTGTAGAGCCATCTATCATTGAAATAATGACTACTTACCATGCACAGAAAAAGTGCAGGATTCTTATTGAAATCAAGGGGGAAAAAATCTTTGCTTGTGATTTTTCACATGATGTATAGAAGCGGACAAACTTGATGACCCCACTCAAATTGGAGGAGCCATATGTGGAAAGTTTAAAAAAAAAAAAAAAAAAAAATACTACTGCTAAGTTAAAAAATTGACCTTGAGAAAAATTTCACTTTTAAAAATTCATAAATATTTGTTTCTGCATTTCTTTTCTGAATGTCACAAAATATAAATCAGAAAAGTATATTATAATTTCAATACAATTAAAGAAAGAAATATATGTAGAGGAATGCAACATTATTTAAGGTTTTCATCACCACTATTCAATTTCATTTTGGATGTAAATGACACTATATAACGACAGAATTTCACAATAAAAGACATTGTGAACTGCTAATTTATAACTTTTAGCATTTTTTACCTTTCTTTATAAAGGTCAGGCATTTATTGCTAACTTAGTTTCTCCTTGATGTGTTAATAAGCTGATAAATGAAAATAAAATTTTACTTTAACATATACTAAAAACACAGATAAAAACCTGCAAAACAGAAAACATATACATACATCCTTCCTGCTTTAAATTCTTTCCTGCAGCACTGCTCACCTGTAATTGAAAAGGTAAAAGAAATAAAAAAAAATAATACACAAGAGCATAGACACACACACAAACAAAAACAAAAAAAAAAAAAAAAAAAAAAAAAAAAAAAAAACACTTCTATTTCCCTGGCATACAACACAATTCTGCACTCTCCAATTTTTTTTTAGAACAGTGTGCATTTCACACATTTTTCGCATGAAGTCTTTGAATGAATTTTGAATGAAGTCTAGTCTTTTACCAATCCAAAAACAGCAAGTTGAGCACAAAGAATTTTTCCTAAAATCAATCTTAAATTCACATATGCAATTTTACACACCAGCTGCATGTAATTTACAGTACTTAAGTTATTTGGTAAAGACGATTAGAAATGTACCCATTTTCCTTAAAAAATAGGCTGCATTTTATAAACTGACAAATACAGTACATTTTACAGATATATAAATAAATTCCAGTATCAGCTTATGAGCTTTAACTAAATACTACATAAACAGGACAGGGAGGCATTTTAACCGAATTAATAAAACTAAATTTTGTAAAATACAATTTCTAACAATTTGAAATTTCTTAGATTGTGGGGGGGAGGGCATATTTTGATGAAAAAATTTATGCCTTGTCTGTGTCTGTGATAAGCATATATATATTGTAATAAATAAAAAAAATACTATATACAAGAAATAGTTCTAAAAACAAATATTCAATTATGTGCTGCAAGATGCGACAAATGGGGCTAATATTGTAAACATAGAAAGTCTTTAAAACCAATACATGTTCACACTGGCACATGCTAATATAAAAAACAAACAAAAAATGCATGCTTAAGCTATAAACCACTGTCAGGTTGCAACAAGAACAGCATTTGTTCAGTTTTCCACAAAACCAAAATCTGTTAAGATCCAAATAACAGCATAAAACAACTATATAACCTTTCATTGAGTTAAATGCATAACATGTGGCGCGAACTAATTCTGAAACCAGACGCAAATAACACATAAAATTATAAACATAATAGAATGAATCTAATGTAGCCTGTAACAAATTACTCTAAATAAGGAAATAATTATTGTGTCCGATATTAAAAATAAAATCATAAAAATCAATCCAGAAATACTGTAAATATTAAATCCATGTTTGATCAAAGTCTGCATATACTACATACATGCGTCTATGTATTATATATATGTAAGAAAAATAAAGAATATGCAAAAGGTTAAATTAGCGGTGCAAAATTAATTTCCCTTCTCTATTCTAAAAATAGGAACATCTATTTGCACTGCATCATTTCGAGAAAAATCTATGCCATATGACTCTTATGTAATTCTGGTGATGTAAATTGAACTAAAGGGAAATTGAACTTAAGAGGTCAGCCTATTGATGGATGTGTTTGTTTAGAAGTATTTGAGGCCTTCCAGTTTGGTAAAATCAGGAATTGTAAATGAAAGATAATAACGGTGAAATCATAATTTCTGAACTGTTACTCATATTATATTTATGGTATTAAAATATAATTTATCAGTATGTAAATTAGTATCATAAATATTTATGTGCATTACATTTAATTATAAGTAATGATTATGTAAAAGTTTTATTTTGTGATATTCTGTGATAACAAGAACCTTGCCCGAAGAATTATGATTCTGTGAACTCTCAAGCAAAAAGACTTTTGGAACGAAATGCTGAAAAATTCAATAGGACTCTAAAAATTAAAAAATTATTTTAAAAAATTGATATTTATAAATTATACTTTGCAGGATCAAAATTTTATGATTTATGTTTTTTTCATTTTCTAGTGCTTTAATGCCTTTTCTTTAAAAAGGCCTCTCTGTCGCTATGCCATTTTCTTTTTGAAGGGGGGGGAATATGTAAGAAAAATAAAGAATATGTAAAAGATTAAATTAGCAGCGTAAATTAATTTTCCATCTCTATTCTAAAAATAGCAACATCTATTTGCACTGTATCATTTTGAGAAAAATCTATGTCATATGACTCTTATGTAATTCTGGTGATGTAAATTGAACTAAAACTCAAGCAGCCAATAATAATTTTACAACAATATTAACTATCCAATCAAAATGCTTTGAGAACCAAAACTAACTCAATTTGACTTAAGATTTCATCCTGAACTATACGCACTTTCTACGCTTTGGCCTAGCTAGACTGCTGTCTGTCTGCTGCTGTTTTCTTGCTACAAAGTTATAAAAAATGTCAGACTTTTGGAACAGGCACATGTAATGTGCCGACTTGTGTGTAGCTGCCACATGTTGCTGAAAATAAAATTGAAGATTTAATCGGCCTTCGCCTCCAATTTCCTAGTCATTATGGATCAACACTTCTACACTATCAAAATTCCTGCTCCTGAATATATTACATATATATATAAGAAGTTAATTTAGAACATAGACACAATTTGCCAGTTATAAATGTATTTTCCATACTTAAAATTAAGTTTATTAGAGTTTGCATACCGTTTTAGAAGGTATATTTATGATTTTTAACACTCACTCAAAATGTATTTGAAATAACTCTTTTTTATACATTCTAAATTTCTGTAAGTTAAGCAGAAAACAGTACTTCCATTAAATTTATATATATATATATATATATACACATTGTAATACAACAGACAATTATTTGAAACATCAAGAAATAAGTGCAGTTCTCAGCCTTTTAGCTAAACCAACATCAAGTTTTAAACACTTTGAAATTTTACACATCAATACATAAAATACATTTCTGTTACATCTAACATATATAGTAAAAATACATAATATGACAGCTTTTGAACTATTAGTAGTATGAATACTGCTGACTAAATTACTCATTCAATTACATTACTGTGATGAACAAGAGCATTTGGATTTATTTCTTCTCATTAAGTACAGTCAAGTCTTTAATCCGGACTCATTGGGACTTCGGGGATTCCAGATTATAGATCATCAGTTTAAATCTGCTAAGATGGCATGCAGAAATTATAAAATTAATAATATGAAACCATAATTTATGAAATAAACAGCAATTATGATCTAAAGGGTATCAAAATTTACAAAAAAAAAAAAAAGTTTAATATTTATTTGTTTATTTTATTAAACATTTCTTTCAACGCGCGCATGCGTAAAGCATACATTACTCATAGTCGAAATTAGAAAATTGCAACCAGAAAACTATTTGATGTGTATTCGTGATATTTATAATGACGAGGAATTTGATTTAAATCATATCAAAGACGGAGTACATCGAGATGAAATACTGCATTTAGTAAGGAATTATAAGCCGAATAAAATAAAAACATCTGCCCTGAAGATAAGGATAGTGCTGACAGATCACATTTCAGTTCATTGCGTGCCGCGGCGTTCCCCCCCTCCCCGCAGAGCAGCATGAAATTGATAAACCGATTTCGGAATGGTTAGAGAAACAAAGGATATGGCCTTATCCATTTTTTGCAGCAATTCCACTTTTTGTTTGATGGACATCGAAACATGCTTTTGCTTTGTAGATCCTTTGGCAGCTCCAGAATCGGAAATTCTTTTTGACATAATTGAAAGTTCAAGCTTACTTTTATGAAATTGCTCTAAGAGTCTGCAAAAAATAATAAGCCAGATCCAATTAGAAGATTAAGGAACAATGCAATCTGCAACATTAACTGAAATAGATAATTAGATAATTTTAGCTTAGTGTTGGAAAATATAGCTTATTTTAAATTTTTTACTGCATCATCTCTCCTTCTTGAAATGTTTATTTAGTTTAGTTCTTATTTTAATGTGATATAGTAGTTACTTCTACTTCTTTTTCTTGCTGCCACTGTTTGCGTTGTGAACGGACTGTTTCAACCTAATTGAGATGCAAAAACGAAACGTGATGATACGTCATCTGAAAAGCCGATTCGTGCCGATAGCTGATTAGTTGCCGTGAGATGACGTCATTCCTACTTCTACTATAAGTATCTTGCGTCACTCTGGCTCAACCCCTTCTAGTTCCTGCTTTCCTGGCACTTGAGTGAGTGGTTTCCAGCCCCTTCAGAAGGATGCATGCAGTCCAGTGAATAAAGTGCCTTGGTTCCGATTTGCGGGATGGCTGTTCCTGAATAAAGTTCCTTGGTGCCTGTCCGCGGGATGGTTGTTCCGGAATGAGTTCCTTGGTTCATATCCATAAGATGGTTCCAGAATAAATTTCTTTGGTTCCAGAGGCTACCATATGAGTGACTGCTGTGGGCGGCACCCATGTTCTTCAATGAAGGCAGCATTTAAAACACGTGAGCGGCAATTCCTCGTGCAAACGGAGTTAGGCCGGTTTTAAGTGTTTTCAAGAACTTGATTTAAATTTCAGGTGTTTTTCTCAACCATTGATCATGGACGTTTTGAATGTGTAGCCAACTTCATTTTTAGGACGCATAATTAATGTTTAGGACATTTTTATTTGTATTGAATGCCAGTGTTTTAGAGACCAGGTAAAAATATTATTTGATGAATGATGGTTATATTATATTTTTCCTAAGACTCTGATATTGTTGAAATTTATTTTCTGTGTTTTTATTCTTTATTATATTGTTAATAAATTGGTTAAGTTCAAAATCTTTTATTGTCTTCAATGTCTGCACAACATGATATCTCAGGGAGCTTTTATTGCTACTACTGCTAAATGTTTAATTTCTTTAAACTTTAAACTTTGCTTTAGCATCACTTAGCTTATACTGTCCGTTATACATTAAACGCACATGCGCAGAAAGTTTGTACCTTTAAGGTCCGGATCATAGATCATTCTGGATTATGGACGTCCGAATTAAAGACTTTTGACTGTACTACATTTTGACAAAGGCCTGCAAGACAGACATCTCATTCCTGCACTAGAATGAAGTCTACATACGGCTTGAGTGATTGCCCCTACAAGTTATTAGACATCAACAGGAAAGCTTTGTCTTCTCTACACCACTGGGACACACTTAGGACAGAGTACACTTTTGTGGATTGCTCAGCCATGCTTTCAAAGGCCAGCCTATGCTACAGGTCCATGTTAAATATAGTTCCCAATGTAAAAATGTATATTCTGTAGTTCATCACTGCAATGTAGTTGTAATAGGAAAGTAGATGTAATAGAAATATATGTTAAAGATAAATGGTATAAAATTTTAGGAAAATTAAAGTAAAAACTGAAACAAATTTAAAAGTATATAAAATCTGATGCTAGCTTAGCTGAAAGGCTGAGAACTACAGTTATTTCTTGTTTTTCAAATACTTGGTTTGGTTTATTTAATTATAGCAAAACACTCAAGGGCTATCTGCTTAAGGGGAGGGATGCCTTCATGGAGGACTTTCTAAAGAAAACTGGATCCAATAGACATTTACACATATGGAAAACCACTAAAACGCCTATGCAACATTTTCACCAAAATTCAAACCCCAGAGTGAACTACCAGTGTTCAATACTCTTACCGCTCGGCTGCTGGTGGGCCTTTAAATAACTGTTACTTTAAATAAATACATAAATTTTAATGCAAGCACTTTTTGTTTAACATAGAAATCTAAAGCACGCGTAAAAAAACTTTTAAATGCATCATAAATAAGCCTTAAAAATCTTCCTGAATACACCTTCGAAATGCATCAAAATGTATTTGTTTAAGAGGATATATAAATTTAAAGAAGCTTAATTTCAAAATTAAGCACTAAATATATATATACATGCAACACTCAAATTTGATCATAAAATGATATTATAAAGTCCATCTGAGCACTGACAGAAAGATAAGAACATTACTTATTATTTTACTATATTCAACTTCGAATTTCATACAGAACAAACATTTAACAGTAGGCTCCAAAGCTGATCAGAACTTAACCAGCGAAAAAACATAATTTTATATTTTATATGTAGTTAAAATATTTTCAAAAAAAAAAAAAAAGCATTCCAGTATCTTAACATGGCATATAGGGAGACTAAAGGTGGAGGAGGAAAAATGCTGGTTTCAGGATATTGCTTTGTTCAGGAGATATGCAATTATAATGTCCTGGCACCACCTTCAAACTGGGCAAATTGAGAGACACTTGAAACTAATTCTAAGCATTGTTCTGGCTGCATCCAGGATTCATTACACAATTATCTCTTTCTACAAGGCCATGCAATATCAGATATTTGTAAACTGAATCTCTTTTAATGATGGTTTTCTACTGGAGATGACTGACACAAGAGCATACTGCATTAAGATTTTCTAGTTTGCTTTCTTACTCCATACATAATTCATCTTTAATTACATTAATAAAGCTTAATTTTGTATGAATCCATTATGAATTTCATAGAGAAAATTTTAAATTATTCTGCACTTACAGGTTCTTTGCCATCCATAGCATCTAACCATAAATTTTTATCTTCTTCTGACAAAGCTTGAAAAGTATATGGTGCAGGTTTATCTTCTGCGATTAAGTCAAAACAAAATCGCTTGTCAATAGAGTCACACTGCCTCCTGAATAAGACAAATTAAAGGATTAGATAAATTTACATGTCAAGAGTGACATGCTTTACAGAACTGAGAATACACTTTTAGAAATTATGATACTTTAACCTGCCTGATTTTTATACAATTAAATAGTAAAACAGCTCATAAAAAACTAGATGATGAAAGAAAGCAAAAGATGAAAAGTTAATGATATAAAGGTAATTAAGTATATGTAAATAACATAGTTATGCAAAAACTCAAATTCTTTGGACTACTGTAATTCATATATACATCAAAGAGACATTATATTATGACCCCCCTCCATCTATAAGATTGGGACAAAACCACTGTGCATGCACGGCTGATGTTAGAGTACATAAAGTGGCTATGCATTCTTTTTCCAAACAAAGTGCGATCATTGACATAATGGGAAAAGCAGTCGATTTATTAGACTCCGATAAAGGTCAAATTGTTATGGGCTCAGCGACTGGGGACATCAATATCACAAATGACGTGTTTAGTGGGCTGTTCATGTGCAGTTGTTGTGAGCACATAACGGAAGTGGTGTATGGATGTTGAAAGGACAAGTCGCTGGCCAGCAGTGTGTCGTCGACGATGCATTGATTCCAGAGGAAAGCAGATTGCTATGCATTATTTGCCGTGACCAAAGATCTACAACAGCCAAAATTATTACCAGCTACAACAGTGGTGACCCAGAGGCGAGGGTTCATCATCTTTTACCTGCAGCATACATATATTTTGAGCACAGCATTTATATCCACTACAGTAATGAATGGAAAATGCAAGAAAGCTTATTATGTTCTTTGAATACAGTAATAAGCACAAAATAAGTCATACATGAAAGCATACATGACACGTCATACTGTTGTATTAAAAAGTATCATTAACGCCCAAGGGATTCATTAACTCTTATTTTTTAAACATTATTTATTAGTCTAATGCCCATCCAAGAGAGGTGTGAAAATGGGGGGGGGATAATTCGTAAACTGCATTATAAGCATAAAATACACGAGTAGCGTAAAGCATTGTAAACATAAAACACACATCACTTTTAAAATGCATGTAAATAAATTACAAAGGCACATTACCCAATGCATTCTTTCACTGTCACAGTTTCACCATTCATCTGCAAAAGAATGAAGCAGTACTATGAAAAATGATTGACCCTAACATGCATTCAAATTAAAAAAAATTGGTACTTTGTCCTCATTTTATACAAAAGTCAAATTTCAGTTACAACTAAAAAATTTAAATAATGTTGCTGTATTTTGTATGCATAACAATATTATGCCTGAAGATAATACAGTAAATTCCAAGTATCCGGTTCATGACTACCCGGCCCTTGTACTATCTAGTCTAGTTTTCCTTTATTGTAATTAAATGAGGAGCAAATTACATGGCCAAGGTGTTGAAGGCAGGTGCCTGCTACGATCCTCCTACGTATTGTGTGTAAAATACAAGTTGTGACAGGAAAAGCGTAGCATTCTGCTCTTTGTTAATTGCTTCATCAGTAAGTGGCAGACCTCAATACAGTATGCCTGCCTCTGTTCCTGATTACTTTATAACTGTATTGTAAATTGTTCTTGATTACTTTATAACTGTATTTATAACAGTATTTGTAAATTGTTCTTGGGGGTGTGTTTAATGTTTTTTAAGTGTACTACAATATAATACTAAGTATTACTGATACTTTCAAAATGGGTGATAAATGAAAAAAAGTTGTAGCGACAACAGAGGAGAAATTACACACTATACAGCTACTAGATACTGGTGTAAAAGCAAACAATATAGCTTCAGAGTTACGAGTTGGGAAAAGTACAGTGTGGGACTGGAAAAAAAATCGAGCAGAAAATTGAAGGTGGCATGCTGCATAAGCTAGTGGAAGAGAATAAAATTAAGAACTTAAAAATATTAATTTTTTAATATTTTTAATTAAAAGGTAAGCATAAAGAAATTGACAGAGCTTTAGTTTTGTGGCATGAACACTTAAGAGGAAAAGGTGTACTTGTAACTGGACCAATAAAAAATTGCACGAAAAAACTTTGGAATTTAAGTGACAAATAGAAGGGCAAGATTCAGAGATTACTGCTAGTGATGGATGGTTAGATCAATGGAAAAATTATTCAGCATTCGCCAGATTACTGTAAGTGCAGAATCATCATCTGCTGATAAAGAGGCTGTACCTGTGTTCAAAGATCAAAGATCAAAGAGCACCTTTAAAAGTTTATAGACAAAGAGAAAATTTCTTGGAAGCAGTTATACAACTGCGACGAGACAGGTTTAAATTATAAGATGCTCTCTGCAAAAACACTTGCATCAAAAAAAGAAGCCACTGCACCAGGATACAAGAAAAGCAAGGAATGAGTCACCATTTTGGCTTGGAGCCATGCAACTCGAAATCACAAGCTTAGGTTGATATTAATAGGAAAATCCAAGAACTTTTAAAACCTAGAATTTTTAAAAAATTAAAAAATCAGGAATAAATATTACACACACATTAAAAAAAAAGCTCTGTCAATTTCTTTATGCTTACCTTTTAGCATGATTCTTAATTTTATTCTCTTCCACTAGCTTATGCAGCACACCACCTTCAATTTTCTGCTCGATTTTTTCAAAAACTCAAAATTTTCAAAAACTTTTAAAAACCTATTTCCAAAATAAATTCTTTCCAACTGTAGAAAAACAATAGTTTGCCAAGAAAAAGCTCTCTTAATTCTTGACAACCAACCTTTGTATCCAGCCATGGATGAGCTCACATATGGGGACATCAAAGCTTTATTTTTACTACCCAATGTAACAGCAGTTTGTCAGCCCATGGACTAAGGAATCCTTGAACAGCTACAGAAAAAATATTGCTGGTGTCTTCTCAATTCAATTGATATCAGTGATTGATAATAATGAAGACTATGTAACCACTTTGAAAAGGATTGACATGCTAGATATCATAAGGTGGTTGATGGAAGCATGGGAAGAGATTCCGAAGATATCACTTATTAGGTCTTCAAAAATTCTTTTGAACCATGAAGGTGGACATGCCAACCATGAACCAATATGCAAAACTGAAGTGGAAGATCGAAATGCTGAACTTGTTTCATTGCTTGAAAAAGGTGCCGGGCTGTGAGCATATCACCGCAGAGGGCATTACAGAATGGATGGCAAAAGACGAAGTTCATGAAATAACTGACAACAATATTATAGAAATGGTGACATAAGGAGATATAATAGAAGAAGGGGAGCAGGAACCCTTAGATGACGAGAAATCTCATCCCACATTCGAAAGGGCTCAAGACAACTGAGGCAGCGTCTCAGTAGTCAGCAGAAGGAAGAAATGCCAGCTGACATCATCTGTTTGCATAAGTGGAGGGACTTTGCATCACAGAAGAGAGCTAAAATGCAGAAGTCATCTATTAAGGACTTTTTTAAATACTAAAAACTGTAAGTTTTGACTCTTATCTTAGAGCTGCCTTTTCATATATGTATAATCATTTATCAGTGAAAAATGAGTTTGAATCAATTTTCTTAAGAATTAGGTCTATAAATTATGTTAATGTTCTGATCATGTTTCCTACTTTTAAGTAAGCATTACAGAATTCATGTTAAAAATGTGAATAGTTTATATTCTTTATATTTTTATTATTTATTTTCTTTTATGTTTTCTCTGATAAATGCTTGAACCATGCAGTGCAGTACATAAACATTTATAAACTACCAGTACAGAGCCTTCTATTTTAACTTGATACATTACTGGCAACTGCTTCTATGATTCACCAGGCTGTGTTCACATTCTACATGGCTTGAGATAAATGAAGGGCTTTATACTAAATAAAAAGTGAGAAAATGAGCATTACAACAGTGAGGTTTGGTATAAAAACTTTGTCTTCTGTTATTGGTGGGGCAAAGAAATGAGTTCATAGAACTCCAGTCTATCCAACTTTTTTGTTATCCCACCTGCCCTTTCGCCGCATTAGGTTGGATACTTGGGAGTCTACTGTATTACAGATTTGAACCAGACTAACTACAGACTAAAAGATCTATTCAAAATTGGGTCTTATTAAATTTTTGCCCAGAGCAGTATTTTACTGGGTGTGGTGCTGATAAACTTATCAACATTTCTAAAATAAGTATATCATTTTATTAGCAATCCCATATTAAACGATCTTTGCTACACAGCATACTTTTGTGTATTTGAAGTTCAATTCATCCATCCCTCTGATATTAGTCTACTTAAATTTAAATTTCAAAGGTCTAAGCTTAAGATCTGAAATTTTACAATTCTGAAGAAATTCTTCCAGAAATAGTTTATATTTACTTAATAATAAACAATATCAGAAACTTTTCTCCATATTTACTGATGCCATAATTTAGAATACAAATAAAAACATTAACTCCAATGGAAATATTAAGTCTTAGCTGCATGAATACTCACTTCTAAACAATTTAGCATATGCTATTTTAAGGTTTTGGAAAATTACTAAAATTTTAAGACGGTGTTCTCCTGCCTTCAGATTAAATTTTCAAGCAAAGTCAGGCAAGTCTCTTAAATTCTTAAGTTATGCATTTTCTTGAATAAACCGAATAAGGGAACTATTCCAAGGATGTTTCATTGAATTACAAAAAATAAAACGATTACCATATCAACACCAAATATAATTTTATTCACCAACTCACAAGTAGTCAAAACTCATCTAGCTATTTTTAAAAACAAATTGGATTCCAAAGATAAGAACTATTGCCAAAAGCAATAATATGCAAAGTAAACATTTGCAATTATTAAAATATTTGTGAGTTACTTTCAAACTAATTATTTACATCACCAGATTTCTACCCATAATTAAATTTACTCATTATTTTATGCCATTTTTGTGATATTTTGCGATTTTCTTAAAAAAAAATAAAATTAAAATGTTTTCTTATTAATGCACTGCATTTCTATTTTGGTAAAAAGCAATACACTTAGTTAAAATTTGCTATTTTGTTTTCAGAAGATAAAGTGCAAGCCCTTAGTTGAATTTTTTATCGATCACCACTTATTATAATTAATACATATTACTATGTAACTCCCTAACACAGTGACAATGCATTTGAAATCACATGATAACTAGTTATGAATGTAAATAGTTGCAAACAAGTATTTAAACCATAATTTTCTTATTATTTGAAAGCCTTTATGCATAAATATACAAATAGCCTGTTATAACGCAATTCAAACACAAAACTGTTCTGTGTAATACACGATTAATTACACAGATGATTAAATTTCCAAGTAAACTCTTCTTATGAAATGAAAAAATAAATAAATAAATAAATAAAATGCTATTTCCTTTTAAATCAGAAAATAATTTTACATTAAGCAATGTCAGAAAGAGTGTACAACTTATATTAGAATGACTACATTTCCAAGACTTGTCAAATTAAATATGAAATACTATGGTGACAACAGCTCATTCGGAATGCAGCAGAATAGTAGAAAATAAATAAATAAAAAAAATGTGAAATAAAAATGGGAAAAATACTTGTCTATGTGTGAAATAGTAACCTATTACCCATTGTTACCATTATTGCTCTCTTGAACTTTTATCTACAAATTATTAACATTTAAAATACGAGACTTCATTTCAAATGAAATGTTAAGAATGTTATAAATCAATTTTAAAATTTTGAAGCACAAAATAATCTAAACAACTAAATGGACATTAATAAAAAATGTAACTTACAATTTTCCCAACAGTCTGAGAATATGGCATCATGGAAAATTTTTTCTGATATTTTTGGTACTGACAAAAATGCTTTGTCCAGGTTGTTCCTAAAGCCTCTGTAAAAAAAAAAAAAAAAAAAAAAAAAAAAAAAATGTGATATTCAATATACCAAGTATCAAAAAAGGGAAAAAGTTTTAAAAAAATGCAAGAATAAATATATTATAGGACCATAAACAGAATACAAATTTTGAAAATGCACTAACTTTAACAATTGCTTTAAAATTAAAGCTTAAAACATCCTTAAGGCCATAACAACACATGCTTATTTTTATTGCAAAAGCATGCATAGAGTAATTTTTATTCCATATTTATGACAGCAGTGGTCATTACTATGTTAAAATTTAATGAAATTCTTTATGGCAAATTTTAAACTTACTACTTTTTAATGCTCAGAAATATATGTTACTTTTTTTTTAAACTGAAGAAAAACAATTTTCACATTTGTGAATATTAAACTTTAATTGAGCATATGCACTGATCGATTAACCATCACAAAATCCATGCACAAACCATATCATTGATCTTACTTCCTAGAAACTTCAGTTAATGAATGCAATGCATGATTTTAAACTAAAAGTATTATTGCATCACAGAGCAATCTAATTTCGATAAATAAAGAAAAAGTATTGCAAATGAAAATATATTTTGAAACTACCCTTCTTTAAAAAAAGTAGCAACATAGTGGATATATGGAATAGAGGAGAGCATAAGCTATGTTGACAATTACATAGAAAAACTGAATGCTGAAATCACCACAGACTAACTAATCATGAAGAAATCACTTCCATTATCAAAAACCTGATGTTAAGACAGTTCATGGATTTGACCTCATTACCAACAAGGCTATCAAACTGCTACCACATCACTATATCCTTGCACTCATCAAAATCTTCAATAACTGCATTACTATTAATTATTACCCCAGTTTCTGTAAGCTTGCAATTATTATCCTTTTCAAAAAACCTGGCAAAGGTCACTCACTATCTTAGTGAAAACTAGAGATCCATCAATTAACTTTCCTCACTTAAAAATATATTTGAAAAAGTTACCTACAATAGACTGATCTCCTTCTTAAATACCAATAACATCCTCTCTGACACAGAATTTGGTTTTCACCAAGGCCACTGCACCGTGCACCAAAGCACCAATATTGTCGACAACCCGCTAAACGCCTTCAACAAAAAAGAAACTGCTGCTGCATGCTTTATTATGATGTTCAAAAAGCATTTGATAAAGTTTGGCATAACGCTATCCTCTACAAACACCACTACTATAGATGCCCCTCTTCTTTTAATTAAAATTCTTCAAAGCTACATTACCAACAGATGCTTCAAGATCAAAATCAACATTCTTTCCTCCACCAAATCAATCTTCAGTGGAATTCCACAAGGGTCAATTTTAGGCCCCTGAGCATTTAATATTTATATATATGACATGTCTACACCACTGGAACCTAACATCTTGAAGTATGCTGATGATACTGCAATCTTAACCAATTCTATTAACCCTGCACATGCAGCTGACAAGCTTCAAATTGCATTTAACATTCTCATCAAATGGCTTGAAAACTGGAAAATTAAAGTAAATCCTGAAAAATGTCACACCATCATCTTTAGAAGGCATAAAACTAACATCAAAATAAATCAGCAGTTCAGAATCAACAACACCCTTATTCCAATAGTAAATGAAGTCAAATACCTGGGTGTTATCCTTGACAGTAAGCTTAAATTCAATGTACATATCAATTATGTCTCAAAAAAGGCGAACGCTGCATTCATGAGTATTTTCCTTAAATTAAAAGGAGCTCTACCCTCTCAGTAGAAAATAAAAGAAAGCTCTACCTTACTATGATTAGACTCATCTCAACCTATGCTAATTCCTGCTTGGAACATTATCTACAGAAATTAAATCAACTTTAAGTCATACAGAATAAAATTCTCCGACGTGTGCTTTCAGCCCCCATCTATCTTAGAAATGATCAAATTCACTATAACTTTAAAATAGACACAATTGAATCTTACATCTTGTCAACAACCTATAAGTTCTTCGCCAGTGTTGAAAATTCATTCCACCAAAACATCAAAGCTCTCTCCAATTATGATCCTTTGCTCATACAAGACTGCATTAGGTCGAAAAATATATTTCATACCCCAAATTAGTATATATATAAAAAAAAAAATTGCTATATTCATTATGTGCTGCAACATATTATTTACTCTTCAGTTCTTCATTTTACTCATTTTTCATAATTACAAAGCTTGGACTTTTACAAAGCATTCATAGACTTTGCTTCATTTCATCATCATTCATTATATTTACTCAAGTGTTATTAGCACCCAAATTTTCATCTTCTACTAAGTGTTTTTCTGCATAACGCACAAACTCTTATTTTTGTGAATGTTTCTACTACTGCAAATGCTCTTTTTACTACATATGTACAACTTCAAATATTTCTGCCATTATTATAAAGATTCTACTTTGCCTTTTACAAAGCATATATGGACTTTATTTACTCAAGCATTTTTAGTACTATTTACCCAAGTTTTTCTGCATCTTGTATATACATATGTACAACTTCAAATGCTTCTGCCGTTATTATAAAGATTCTACTTTGCCTTTTACAAAGCGTATATAGTCTTTATTTACTCAAGTGTTTTTAGTACAATTTACCCAAGTTTTTCTGCATCTTGTATATACATTTATATTTGTGAACGTTTCTACCATTGCAAAAATGCTTCATATTTACAACTTCAAATGTTTCAACAGCTGCAAAAGCATTCAAAAAACTGTTTAAAAACTGTTAAGAAAAATTACTGCAAAACAACTGTTTTAAAAAAATTACTTTTCACATTATTTGCTGCAACATGTTATTTTCTCATTAATCCCACATTTTACTCATTTCCAAAATCTTTGAATGTTTCTACTATTGCAAAAGAGTTTATTACTTCCTATTTGCAACTTTAAATGATTCAACAGCTGCAAAACAAGTGATATTTTTATGTGTAATTGCTACCCAACAAGTGCTATTTTGTGTGTGTATGTTACTAAAGTGGCTTTAGTACCATTCACCCAAATTTTTCTCCACCTACCAAGTGTTTTTCTGCATAACACTTATATCTGTGAATGTTTCTACTATTGCAAAAGTGTTTATTACGTCAAATTTACAATTTCAAATGTCTTTACAGCTGCAATTGCATTCATTACATTCAAATTACTGTTTAAAAATTTCTGCAAAACAAGTGTTAAAAATTAGCTATTCTCATTTTGTGCTGCAACATGCTATATTGTAACAATTATAGCTAAATGGCTCTAGCTGAAATCCTATCTCCTATACGAGTTTTTGAGCCTAATTCTACTTATTTGATTGCATCTACGTACATAAGAAACTTTATTTTTTCCCAAATTTAAGCAATTATGACCAAATTTGCTTTCCTGTTTATATAAAAAGCTCACTCGGTGCAGAATGTAAACAAACGCTGCTTTCACGTTTGTGCTAAAACCTCACCTCTTCAAATGCTTGAAACTGACAGAACTTTATTTATTCATTAATACTTATCTACTAACTTGCAACTAACTTCCTGTTTTGCAAATTCGCAATATTTTTCATAATCTGGAACTGCCATTTAATTGCCTATTCATAATAATTTGCTATCATCTACCTCACCCTTCATCTACTACCAAATATCGTGGAATGCCAGATTCTAATGTTTATTGCCTATATTGGCGGTGCTCTGCACACTACTTCATCACTACAAATGCTCAACCTAAATTACTACAAGCAAAGGGCCATATGGCTAGGTACTTGTTTCTAATGAAATGATTCGATTCAATAGGCTATGTTTGTGGGTCCTGATACATAGAAGGGAAGCCAGATATACAAGGTGGAGAGAAGCAGAAGCAGACAGGCAAATAACAGCATCAATCATGATAGAATTTGTTTCCCTTTTATGTACAGATTTTTTATGACTGAGTGAAAAAGATGATTTAGTCTATCTTATTGTACATTATGATGAGTGATATGTTTGTATTTATAAAGCAACTACAAATGGAAAACTGTTTAGAAAAAGGTTTGTTGTTAGCTAATTATACGATGAATGTTCCCAAGCAGATTATCATGAAAATTACTGTTCAGTATAAATTTTTCAAAGAGGATCTTATTCATGCAATCATATAGATTTGTATTCAAGAACACAATGACAAACTTCAGTATTGGCACATATACAATTCTTCACACTACTTCTATATATATAATATATCTATATATATATATATCTATATATAAGAAAAAGAAAAAAGGAAACTTCTAGTTTAATGAATTTCTTGTATGATTACTAGATTATGGTTCTAAAGTACCATATCTGCCGGCGTATAAGACGCACCTCCTTTTTTATACAACATTTTTGAAGGATAAAACTTTATTACTGATCATTATAATGAATTTCCAATATTTTAAATTTAAATACAAATACAAAGTAATACTTTCTGCATATACCCATTGTATCTGTGAAAGAACATCTTTTAATCTTCTTCATCAAAACCCAGACACTCATCTCCAGAAATAAATGAAGAGTCACTTGAAACCTCTTCTAAATCAGCATCTGAGTCCTCATACAACAAATTGTATTCTGTACCATCCAGTGCATTACTAATACTACACTTCTTAAATGATTTAACCAATGTCTCTGTTTTCACAGCTTCCCAGAAAGTTTTGACCCATTCAGAAACTTGTGAAATGCTAGGCCTCTTCTTTCTTCCTGATGCTGTAACCTCAAAATCTGAAAACTGCATCCAGCTGTTCCACTTTTCCTTCATAAATGTTACGTAACTGTAATATTCCTACGCTCCGCAACGAAACAAGAAAAAAATCCCATAACTCGAAATAGAGGAAATTTCCAGAAATAAATTTAATCAAAAAGTTTAGTATCGACGTACAAGGCACCCTGTTTTTCAGACCTATTTTCAAAGAAAAAAGTGTCTCTTATGCACCGGCAAATACGGTAATAAAACTACAGAAATATAACATTTTCGGCATGTTGAAAAATGGAAATTATTTGTG